TATATATATGTATGTATATATATATATAACCGAGTGCAGACTGTAAAGAAGGACTATCTTCACATTCTGCACATGGTCTCGTCGAGGTTTTTTTTTCTGATCAATCGCATTGAGCTCTCTTATCTAGCGTTTTGTTTTTATTACATACCTTATTGTGATGAACAGTAGACGGAAAAAGCCCCCATAGTCACCAGGATCCGGTAACCTAGGCCCCCGGGATTTGGAGTGGCGAGCCACATACGGCCCCGTCAAATTAGGCGTGGTCTGTGATATAACTTGTTGAATCCACCGGTGAGCTTTGTGTCGATGAAGCCCAAAAGAGTTGGTATACTTTTCGACGGACACAACAGTATACCGATTCGTTGGTGTTACTCCTATCAGACACGTCTTGCATTCGCAACTTATACTCTACTGTTGCTCCATTTACCTTATTTAGTGTTACTGAATCACTTTTTTCTGTTCGACTTAATTCGAAACGTCTTCACGGTTGGTTTTTTTCCGTTCCTATCTTTCTCTCTCACCATAGACGGACAAATTGGTGCACAAATTTGAACGACATCGCTGTTTTGCACGATGCATCGTTCATGTGGATATGGATGCATTTTACGCAGCCGTGGAAATTCGTGATCAACCGGAACTGCGTTTTCTTCCGGTCGCTGTGGGCAGCAACAGTATGCTCGTACGTGTTCGTGTTCCTGATTCGCTTCCTTACACGGTCAAACAGCGACTCATATAGTGCGCCACTCTGGTTGATTGATATGCTCCCGTTTCCCCGCATATATGAATAGTGACTGTTTTTATTTCACATATTTGTCGGTTTTTCCTCTGTCCCTGCTGTATTGCTGCTGGTACTGATCGATTTTATTGTTCCTCCCTATAAATACAATCGATAAATCAACTCGATCCATCATGAGGGACGAGTTTAAATATTTATTATCACTAATCCGAATGGCTTAATGGATTGAGATTACAAAATCGCAGTAGAAAAAAGATGTCTTCACCCAACTGGGCTTGATCTTAGTTTCTGGTTTAAATGTTTAGAAGTGATCCCTCTTTCTCTACCAGTTGCTTTTTTCTGTGTAAGCTCTCTATTCATATTATTGCCTTCTACGATTCTATTCGCTTTTCCTTTAAATCTCAATTCTGTCACATATAGTTCTTTGAATGGAACTTAGACACTCGTGGTAATTTGCAATTTGACCGAATACTTGTACTGATAACCGACATGTGCGTGTTGTTGCCTCACCACTTTTTAAAAGAAAAACAATCTGAGAACCATAATCCGAGTATTGTTTTTATTGTTTTTCTTTTCTACGCTCCTCAACCAGTCCACGAGTAATTACATTGCCAGACGTTACGGTGTACGAGCTGGTCTCCCGGGGTTTTTGGGCAAAAAGCTCTGTCCGAATTTGCATATCATTCCACCGGATTTCGCTCGGTACACAGAAGCCAGTCGTTCTGTCCGGGCAGTTCTAAGTCAGTACGCTGTGATACCTCATGACACTGAAGAAGACTCAACAGCACAAAGGGCAGATCAAAACGAAGACAGTCCCGGACCTGTGGCTATGGTCACTGCCA